TTTGGAAGTGGCTCGTCTGCATTAGCAGGTCATAGATGCGGCGTAGGAAGCATCTTCCAAGGCGCACCACCTTGCATGCGTGCTGTAGTTGGTCAACCAACGATTCCAGGTCCCTTCTCAGGCCGGATTTTCGCCACTCAGCGAGAAGAGCGCGGAGTTTTACCAATTTTTCCTCAGGGACGCGCAAAGTCATGGCCATTGAGTCCACCTCGATACCCAGGACGGTGAGATGTGTTGACGGGCCTTCTGTTTTATCCTCGGCCAGCATCAAGCCGAGGTTCTGGGACGCCTGTCTCAAGATTAGCAGACCAAACTCGCACTGGGGGGGGAGCTGGAGGGCCGACGATAATAAAGTCGTCAACATAATGAAAAATGTAGCGCACCCCAGCCTGCCGAACCACCCATTCCAATGCATCGGCCAGGGCGGAGAAGATTAGAGGGGCCGATCGTAAGCCGAACGGGAAAGTTGCATCCACAAAATACCGCCATCGCCAGAACATTCCGAGCAACACACGGTCTTCGGGGTGAACTGGGACCTATCTGTAGGCCTGCTTCACATCGCTTTTGGCTAGTAGTGCACCGCGGCCGAGTGCCCCGACACACTCCGCAATGTTGTCGACCGAAATGTACGTCGGTGAGCAGTCTTCGGGGCTAATCCCATCGTTGACGCTGCAGCCCCCGAAGGAAGATACATAAGTCGACGATAAGACGCCACTTATTCGACTGTCCCCGCTTAGGAATTACCCCGAAGCAGCTAACAACCAGGGACGGCACCGGGGGTGCAGGAAAGGTCCCAGCACGCGTCCTTTGCAGCATTCCTCCACCAGATATTCCGAGACTACCTTGGCGTGCTCGCCAGCAGATGCCATGTTCCGAGCCGCTGAGCGTGCCAGAGGAAGACGGTCGTAGTTGAACCCGATACGAAAACCGTCCCTCACACCCGTCACTATTAGCTCAGCAAATTCTCAATCTGGGTGGAGGAGGAACGCTTGCTGCCACGCCCGCCAGTCCAGTGGAGTCACAATATGCGATAGTGAGGGAGGCACCTGAGGGAGGTTAGACTTGTGAGCCGCCAGTGCTCTCAGCTTGGGGCAATGGGAACCTAGAAAGGAACAGAAAGGGGGCCAGCGCCATAACGACTGTCACACCCGGAGGTGGAAAACGTAGGAACGAACGTGCCACCGATATACCATGACCAAAGTATAGGACATTATTAAGTAAAGATGGGTGAGTGAGGGTAAACGTAAGAAACAGGACCAGCCTGGTCGATGATGTGGTACATACTTGGATAAATACATCCACTTATACCCAAGTGAAATATATACAAAAGTGAATACGAGCACTGCGGTACACAGAGTATAATCTTAGCACATGATAGAGTTCGTCCGATCTGGGAGCCGCGATGCAGAGATCACTGCCCCCCCCCCTGCGGACATAGGGGTAAACGAGCATGCCTTGGCCGAGTGAGAACCGCCGCACTCCCCGCAGGTGTGCTTGAACTTGCATCGCAACCCGAACGGGCACGACGAAGTGTTGAAGAGCTGGCACACGTCAGGGCTCCACGAACGACGCCGCTTGGCAGGAAGAACTGAAGCAGGCGTCACACCCTCCTTCCTGTCGAGCCGCTACTGAAGGACAATTCGCGGCAGTGTGCTGAGAGCTGTCGCACGGAGAGCAGCACACTACCATCTTTGCTCTCCCTGTCAAAAACCGGGTGTATAGGTCCACATCGAGTTTGGACCAAGACCTATTGCTGATCGCCGCCGCCGCCACCCAAAAATAAGTGTTGTAAGCCCGCCATTGCAGGCCGTCGTGGGACTGAGCCGCCTTGATTATCAGTTGATACGCCAGCAGCTCGGAGACTAGCGCCGGTTCCTTCATAGTGACGACTGCCGTAAAGCAAACCAGTTCGCAGCCAGGGAATAAAGTGAATCTCGCCCTTGAGTTAGTCATTTGGTCGTGGAGAGACTGGGCCGGGAGTAGATCAGCCACAACCACGTACTCCCATTTCTGGATCTTCTCCACAAAACTCTTCGGTACAGTAGGAAGCCCGTTCCCAATTGCAACGCCCTCGCTATCCAGCTTCAACGGTGCGGTTGGGTTGCCCGACATGGCGCTGAACAAGGAGGCCTAGGCTAACGCTGCATCCGAACCTCCTGGCGCCAGAGGCGCCACCACGGTCGCTGAAGATACTGGTGTAGGTGGCACCGAAGTTGAAGATGGCAGAGACGCCGCAATTACGGGTAGGGCCGGAATAGTCTACGGCATCACCCCCAACGCCCCTGACGACAGGCCCGTAGCTGTAGCTGCACAGAATGACAGCAAATAACGCTGGTTCGGCGATAAGCCATAGAAGAGAAACACACAACACCCTGCCACTGAGAAGGTACGCCGAGATAGTGCCGCTACCGCTACAAAGTCACTACTGCTCACCCCGCCGCTGTGTGGACGCACAGGCCACCGATGCCACAACGCCTGCCGCTGCGGCGGCACACCCTACTGCAGTCGTTACTGCATCCCTGCTGCGGACGCAGGCTACACATACTGCTGCTGCTGCCGCCGCCGCTGCAGTTGCTGCTACTGCTGCTGCTGCTGCCACTGCTGTTGCTGCTGCTGCTGCGGTTGACCCGCCGCTGACTCCGCCGCTGCGGACACTGCTGCTGCTTCTTCCCCCGCCGCCGCGGAGGCCGGCTAAGCTGCGGCCGTTGCTGCTGCCCCACTACCGATCAACGCTACTGCTAATGCTGCCCCTCATAGCTAGCTGCCATGAGGAATGCTCCCTGCTGCAATGCCAAGCACGCTGTGGAACTCTAATTGTTTAAATCACCAGCGACCCTTCCTAAAGACCGAGCAAATAAACAAATAAACTGCATACCAGGAGAGGGATTGGAAGCAGGGGACGCGACGCTGGAGCCGGGAAGAGATGATGGCGCGGGTGCCGCCAAGCTGCTGGAGCCGAGCTGGAGCCCCCAGGGGCCAGTCCCAGAGTCAAAGCTGTGCGGAAAATGGACTGCGATACCCGAGTAGTTACTTGGTCCACCAGCACTGTGGTGACTGCCCGACTAATTGTCGGAGCAGTGGCTGCGGAGACGAGCGACGTTGTCGGTCGCCGGGAACTTGCAACAGAAGCCGCCGGGGAGCTCGACGTCAGCGTGGAGTGTGGAGCTGGTTGAAGTGGCCGTAGTAGGACCAAAACGTCGAGAAACGAGAGAGAACGAAACAGCTAGGAGGGGGCGCTTGCAGTATTATGATGAATATTCATGAGCCATGTGCCCGTTTACGTAATGGAAAATTTGCACGTACAAGTCAGTGGCCACGAAATGAACATGCGTGAGCTATGGCGGAGGCTTTTCGTTTGGAAGTAGAGGGCTGGAATGACTCCTTTTCGCCGCTTGACGATGAACCAATGCCAGAAAATGTCAGCAGATCCGTGACTGCGAGTAGCAACGGACATACGACCAAAACCAGCGACGGACCGCAGTGGTGTTTCTAGGATTATTTACATTTGGGGGTGCTGGGAGCGCGTGAACGTGCGCGCGTGCAAAATGATACCGGGGTGCTTCATTGTTCAGCACTGAGTATGTTAGCCATTTGTAGCCTCCTCGGGTGACGTCTAGCAAATTTGTCTATGACTTGCATTTCGAACTGCCTGCGTGGGTTCAATACGCGCTTAGCTTGCGCGGCTAAGTGCCACGCCCGTTTTTACGCTCACGCGCAGGTCGGTCGCCGGTAGATGGCAAGGTCGCCGACTCGGACGCTGCCGGTAGTAGTCAGTGAGCCTAGTCATGCGAGCGGCTAATTTTTGTATGTTGAAGTGGTGGCGCAAGGTAGGTGCTGGAGCACCCGAAGCACCCCCTGGATACGCCACTGGACCATCGGCCAAAAGCGTAGCTTTCTCTCTCTCTAAAAGGAAAGGATAAACCCGAGGGGTCCGACACGGACTGTTATGACGTACGAGATTTCTAATAGCCCGTGATTTTCAACTGATTTCCTGATTTCCAGATTTCCACGTGATTTCAACTGATTTCCAGTTCCGTGATTTCAAGAGATTAACCCCGGCGCGCATGCGCAGCGAGGGTTACAGCAACTTGATTTCTGATTTCCACTTTTCGCTGATTTCCCTTGATTTCCAACTGGATTTCTGACCATAAGCGTTCCACCCGTGTCGTACCCCTCGGATAAACCCGTTGAGCGGTTTCAGTTTGTGGATTCTGCCAAGAGCAAGGCTCTCAGCAACAAGTTTGTACCAAAGAATACCGAAAAAGGGACTCAGTGGGCGCTCTCTGCTTTCCTATCGTGGCGCGAAAGGCGAAATGCACGCTTCGCGGAGGAATCCGAGAATCTATATAGTACCGTGGGATCTACTGGCCCTCACTGACCCTGGTATCCTCAGTAAATGGCTGACATTTTTGTTGCTGAAGTAAGGAAAAGGGACGGTACCGCGTTCCAGAAACTTCGGGTGTCCTAACTTTTTAGACTAGCTAAAATCACTTGAATTCTCATGCATTTTGAGTCATGTATTCAACCTAAAATTACCTGGTTTCTGCATTTTGCCATGATTTTGCTATGTATCTCGTACATTTTTAGCTATGATATCCAACCCTACCCACAGTAGATATTCACACCATTCCTCAGATATACACCCTGGCCACTGGGATATTGTCACCTTAGTACCCACTTAGGATGGTGTAGTGGATTTATTGTACTAGAATAAACTTAGCAAAGACCTAGCAACAGGTAATAAGAAGATGTTATCTCCCCATGTCTCCTATGTTTTTCCTGTTTGCCGTGTCTCTTCTGTCTCCCTACACATCCGCGTCGACATCGCTGCTTTTTATAAGTTATACTGTGCATCAATGGAAATCATATTTAGACGGCCAAGGGGCCCTGGGCTTGTGCTGTCACGAGCAAGGGTTTACGCTTGAGTTACAAGTTTATATCTGTGTTTCTCTGTCCCAACTTTATATGCTATTTTCTTGCTCTCTTCTTGCTCTCTTTAGGAAAACTATGGGAATGTGTGTGCTGAATTGCATACTTTAAAACAAGAATTGAGTGCTTGTACAGTGCAGGTCAACCAAATACAGTCTGAGCTCAAGCATGAACGATTACAGGTAGTTTATAAATGTCCTAGTTGTAGTTTTTAAAAAGACGTTTCTCATGGGTTGCCACAACAAAGTAAGACTATCCCCCTTGCCCGCCGTTTCACATGGGACGAGAAACGGCCTAATAACCACTGTTAATGCACGTGTTTTGTTTCCATAAATACCTAGGGATTCGTATATCTTTCCGTGTTATGCGTATGAATCCTCCTCCTACCTCGCAACCGTGCGATCGTTCCCCATGATCTCTAAGGATAAGTAGAGATCGCGTGGAATTAATTGATGCAGGGGAAGATAATGGAAACTGTCAGTCGATCTTTATAACACTCAGACAGGAAGTGGAGACATGCCCGGGTTATAGGGTTGTGGTCTTCTGTGCTTTGAAAGACCCTTTGTACCTCTAAGCCCGATGTTTGGCACATGTATAATAATTGCCGAGCGCGTTAGCGTGAGGCAACTACTCCGGGTTGTATTCTCGCGATATGCGTACGTACGTACGTGCGTGTCGTCACGCTTAAGAATGTCAATTAAGTCACGCTTAGGAATGTCAACTTCCGTCATTCGTAGGAAGTAGCTGTAGCTTCCGCCGTGCGTGCAGATTCGTAGGAAGTCTGGCTTCGCGCGCAGTCAGTAGAGCGCGCGCACGAGCGGCCTCAGTCGGAGTGTTTACGCATTGGCTGGCAGGCGCGAGGCAAAATATTCGCGTGCGCATTCCTAGTAATAATAATACTCAGGTGGCTGCCATAGCACTATATAGGGCCATAGACCACGCACCGTTAACAAACGAACATACACCATATGAACATGAGGTGTCTGTCTCACCTCCCAGACACCTCAACTCACTCCTTCCATCAGCGACACCCTGCAGCTCCCCAGACGCAATCTGAGACTGGGTCTGTTGTACGTGCACTAGAAGGCTAGTCATATACATACCTAGACACAGTACAAACAAGCAAGGGAGTGCCCTTGGCACTAAGCTTAGGATGCCTGCGTTAGAATTATGCTTTTAACAACCTATCTCGCATGTGCACAGGTTATCAAGCAAGTATGCACAATGTATTGTATGGTAGGGTAATGGTAATGCTATCTTATTGTGTTCTCATTCTGTAGATGTGTGCTCAAACCAGTGAGAAGGAAGTTGCACTTCAACAGATAGCTCTTCTACAAAATGAAATGAGACTGTACGATCAAAAAGTCCAGGAGCTTGAAGCTGCTAAAGAACAACTTGAGCAGGACTCCTACTCGACACATAATCGTTTTCAGGAGCTTGAAGAACTGCACAAACAGGTTCATGCGCTTCCATGTATATAAGCTTGGGTATCATGTGGTTCATTCTTTGGTCATTAACCCTCAGCACGCATGCCCTGCGAGGGTTACAGTACTTGGTCTGAGTCTCTCTGTTTGTTTGTCTGCAACTATTCTCGCAGTAGAGGCTACGAGGCAGCCTCTATGAGCGATAACAAAATGGCATTCCTGAAACAACTGCATTTGAGAGATATGCCGTGAAAACAAGCACGCATTGTGTGCTGTGGGTTTGCACTTTATTTTCTTTTTGGCTAGTGTGCTATACACATAATACAAAGAATGTGCGAGTCACACAGACACGTCGCAAAATTTCTATTTTCAGTGTGTGCAAAAATAGTGCCAAGGAACCCTGGACAGTGCTGTTGTTAGATATATGTACATATGAACCACGCATTCATCCTACAAATTAGGCTTGTTTTGCTTCCCAGTCATATGTTTAGATGATATTAGTCCTTCATTTGAAGATTTCAAAAGGATCTGATGTGAAATCAGAATTCCACTACATGACAAGGCAAGTATATGACAGTGTATTTGGCCAATATTTTGCTCAGATCAACAGCACTTTAAAGAACATTTTGCACATCAGAAGTTTGCTTTGGATACTGTGATGTGTGCGTGGTGCGAATAGACTGATCGTTGTCTCTCTGACTGTGGTGGAAAGAAACATTATGGGAAGGGAGTCACCAAAAAGGCCAGTGGCCGTAGGGAGGGACTGTCGTATACTTGCCTTGTCAATTATGGAATTCTGATTTCACATAAGATCTAAAGATCACTGTGGAATCTTCAATTCCACTACGTGACAAGGCTGCGTACAGTGTATTGTTTAAAGCTATACCTTCCTTTCCACCCAGCACTGCTTCTGAATAATCACTCATGGCTTGCTTGTGATAGAAGGTCTCAAAGGTAGATTGATGACCCGAGCCAGCAGTGGCCATTATGTCTCTGACCGATACCCCTGCTTCCTTGCCGCTGTAGCTTAGGCCGATCTGGTCGAGTGTGCCGAGAATTGCTCTGTGTTCACCCCGGCCTTGGACAAAACTTCCTTTATCCATCTCCAAATAGTGGCCGAAGAGACCGCATTGCAGGGTTTACAGAAGGAGATGAAGAGGGGATTACTTTCATTGTCCCCTTCCTTCATGATGCTGATCGTCTGCCATAAGTATTGCTCAAGGGTATTCACGGAGCAGACACTCTCGTCCTCGAACCTCGACACCTCGAAGGACCTTGAAGGACCTGATCTCCTTGTCTTTGTAAGACCTGGGATCCTGCATATGACCCCTTCTGCGGACATCTGAACAAATCTGACATCTAGTGCTACCAGGTCTGCTGCTGTGGGGGTATTCGACAAGGCTAGTAGGACTACGAACTTTTGAGACAGGTCGCTCAGACCCAGCGCAAGTGTGTCACCCAGTTCCTCCTTGAGGTAGAGCACCACTGTGTTTACATCCCATGTGGATGTTTACTTGGGCATTTGCGGCCGCTTCACCCTTGGAGTGCTCTGCACACAAGCGGGTGTTATCCCACTGGGTGACCCTCTATTGGGGGAATTGTCGCCAAAAGGGCTGATCTGTATGCATTGATGATGGAGTATTTAAGGAATCTGTACGATGAACTCGACAACAGGGGTCACAGAGGTTAGAAACACACCAGTATTCCTTCCCTCACACCAGCTACGCCACTGTTTCCAGGCGCTATTGTAAGCCTTCTCTGTGTCGCTTCTCCACGAGGCTGCGATAAGGTCCAGAGCCGCCTCATAAAAGCCACTCTCATAGATTCTTGCCCTATGACTCTCCAGGTGGCTAGGCGCAGATGACCCTGCTGGATCAGGGGATGAGGCTCTCCTGCCGGATTAATCAGCAGGTGACAGGTCTGAAGTAGAATCAGTGGCAGGTCTGAGATGCTCTCTGTTAGCATGGGATACCAATGCTGGTTTTGCCATACTGGCGCTATCACCTTTGCCTGGTGGACTCTGTCTCTCCGTATTTTCTGCAACACACGACCCAGTAGAATGAACGGAGGGAAGGCACACGGGTGTAGTGCTGTCCACTTCTGGCCCAGAGTTTCCACTGCCTCCGCCAGAGGGTCCAGCCTGTAGATGTAGAACCTGGGCATCTGGGCGTTTTGACGAGCAACGAAGAGGTCTACATCCAGAGGTCCCCATCTGCAGCAGATCTCCTGGAACACCTCTGGAAAGAGCACCCAGTCGCTGGGGTCCGCACCTCTTCTCGACTCTTTGTCCACCCCTTTCTTCTCCCTGCATGGTATATGTTTTTCTTGCAGGGTGATCCTCCTGGTCAGGCACCACTCCCACACCTGGGCAGTTAGGTCCGACAGCCTCTGAGAGTGAGTGCCCCCTCTCTTGTTCAGATAGGCGATCACCGTTGTGTTGTCGATGCGTAGGAGAACATGAATACTGGTTTCCTACGATGCAAAGACTTGCAGCGCCAGGAACACAGCCTTCAGTTCCAGTACATGTGGAGCTTCCTTTCGTCTGTTGTCCACATTCCCCCTGTTCTGGCCCCGTTGCAGGTGGCACCCCAATCCTCCATTGATACGTCAGATGTCATCACTAGGTTGGCAGTAGGTGGGACTATGCTTCGACCATTTAGTTCGTGTAGTATTCCAGGTCATTTTCGTCAACCTGCTCCTCCAGACCCAGAGACGGGCCCTCATCCCCTATAGTAAGTGGGTGGAGAGATATTGGCTGTGATAGTGACCCCAAATGTCTTGTATGGCATTGGGCATCAGTTCTGTGGGACTTAGGGCTCAGTGATTGCCATGTAGACCTTATGTATAAATGCATGGTCCAGGGCTCTGCATATTCCGGCTGAGACCATGAATCAGACTCATTGACAAGGTCCTGGGCTCTGGTGCCAACTGAGACCTGTCGTATGTGTATCATAGGCATGGTCCTGGGCATGAGGGGCCAGCCTTAGGCTGGGCTCTAGTGCTTACTGAGACCCGCCACATTATTGCCAATCACCTGTCTGTCCTTGCATAAAAGGGAGCGGGGTATGTCCCGGGCAGGATGTCCCGGGCATGGAAGATTTGCTGAGGAGAGCGCTTCCTGCATGCAGACCAATGTTGTGGTGTATGGGTGTGGTTACACTGAAGTCGCCACCGGCGAAATGGCGGGAAAGGTCACGTGCGTGACCTAAAATGGTGTTGTTGTCTGCCATCGGCTGTCGGGATTTGGCTAACCCTGGATGCCCAGAATGCTGCTGATGGAGAAATTTGACCTCTCCATTCTCTCCAGAAGTTGTCCCCACTCTTGGTATGTTCGGTTCTTGCCAGACTAGTTGAAATAAGAGGATTGTCATCTGACGGAAAAAGTATGTTCACTCCAATCTGAGCAAAAATTGAGGCCGATGTTTCTCACGTAACCCAGGGGGGTTGTGCGTAGTCTTTAAAGTGCTGTTGGCTGCAAAATTGACCAAATACACCACCATATACGCAGCCTTGTCACGTAGTGAAATTTAAGTTATCTTTTGGGCTTATGCGGATGTGTTGGGAAGAAGAGAAAAAACTAACTTTTGGAAGCTGAACTTGGGCAATCACTGAGCTACAACACCCATTAAACAACAAGGGTAAAAAGACCAGCTTTTGTGTTGATTTTGTGGCTCAGTGCTTATTGGGCTCTTTCTCTCGGCCACCTCTGTATGCAGACTATCATAAAAGATGTATTGTTTTGTAGATTTGAACCCATTCCTGCTGAGTTGCTCTAGTACATTCCTCATCTAGTGGAGTGGCGACCTAGACTGCAGAGTGTCGTAGGTTCGAGTCCCCCCAAGGCAGCTCTTTTCTCCTTTAAAGAGAAATATCCTGGGCATATTTCGTTGTAACACATGCACAATATTATGGCGTCTGGTGGTTCCACTACCCAGCTAAGTCTGCTCCTACAGGTGGAGTTAGAATTTAACTGTAGAAGTTTCTTTACGTGCCAGGTGCAACAGCCACCTTGAGGTGGATCTAAGCATTTCTAAGAACTACCTGCAAGCACAGGCTCCATTTGGAAACCTATGCATAAATTATAGTCGTTTGAGAAGCCAAGAAGTGACCCTAGCATCCATTCAATACCAGATCAGCGAGTTACAAGTGACTAAGAAAGGTGCAAAATTTGCTCACGGTTGTTTGTAGCAACAGTTCTCCACTTGCAGAGACAGAAACTCTGCAAGCGTGCCGAGGGTAGCCTAGAAGCCATAGAAATCAAAGCTTTCGACAACAGCATATTCGTAGTAACTGCCGACTGGATATTGCTGACATGACGCTGGTCAAGGTATACCAGCATTAATTGCATTCCTGTGGCCTATACCGCAGAGCGGAGCTTCCGTGAAACACAGCATGCTCGGTGACCTCAGGAGCTACAGACGCCTAGTTTTGTCACTGATTGGGTTTTTGCTACCTTGTTTTTCCAGGCTCTAGCCAATTCTCGCTTGTGCAAATGCTGACACTTAGCTGTCGCGTGTATGGCACGCGATGCATACCGTTTCGAAGCGGCAACGCGGGATCTGTCGGAGTAGTCTTGGGCAGCCAGTGACTGGCTTTGTGAGACTACTGTCCGAGTTTTCTAGGCTACCCGTTGGTTTTGGAAGGCATACGAATCACGTGTGGATAGCGAGAGAAAGTACATTAGCATGATGAATGTCATTAACTTCTGCTTCATATCTGCATAGTAAGCTACCAAAAAGTTGGCGGTTCAGGCTCAGGGGGTACATACTCTCAAAACTACATGACTGCAACTATTCGTTGACCAATTACCTAGTATACAGAGCTAACATACGTAGCAGATAAATTATACACTACGACTCATAAAGTATTGATTGCACATCCGAATTTGCAAAATCACATAGTTTTATAGGTTTCCAACACACAGTAAGGTGTGGTTATTGGTGTTTATCATGTTTAGTAACAAGTATATATGACCATCGTTTGTGTCAATAACAGCCTGCAGCCTTTTTGGCATGGACTCAACTAACTTTTTGGTTACTTCTGTTGCGATCTTGTACCATTCGTCCTTTACGATGTTCCAAAGCTGGTCCTTGTTGCGAGGCATATGCCCATGAAGCTTCCTATGCAACACATCCCACAAGTTCTCAATTGGGTTCATGTCAGGACTTTGAGCTGGCCAGGCCATGACATTGACGTTGTTCTCCATAAACCAGCTCATTGTTTGCCTGGAGGTGTGGCATCTAGCGTTGCTGGAAAAAAGTATGCGTCAGAGACACACAAGCCATGGGCACTACGAATCATAGTCAGTCGTAGTAGCCAGTAGAATTTAAATTCCCAGAAACCAATGCAAGGTGTCCAACTCCCTTAGTCATCATACACCCCCACACCATAATGCCGCCACCCCCATGCTTTACGGTAGGTATATACCACACAATCATCAAGATATTCCTCCCCCACTCGACGACGAACATAAACCCGGCCATCACAAGGTAAAACCTTGATTCATCACTCCACAGAACCTTTGACCACATTTCGTTAGTCCATGACATGTGTTCTCTTGCAAACTCAAGACGGCGTTTCCTGGTTTGCAGTGAGCATCAGCTTGTGGCGAGCTTCGCAACCGTTGAGCCCTGCTTCACATAACCGCCTCTTTACTGTGGCAGAGGAGAGATTGATGCCAAAACCTGTAGAAAGTGATGCTCCAAGTGCTGGAGCAGTTTTTCTACTTTCCGCACAGCAGTTGTGAATGCCTAGGTAGTTGCTGACATATACCGTGCCCCCTCCTTATCAAAATGTACACCATTTCTCTGTCTTCTGCTTCTGTTCCTGTTCTGTTGAACTGCAACCTCTATTTCAAAAGAAACACACATGCCAACTTAACATTTTATGCTAGGTGGTTGCCATTACTTCACAATCAACACCTTATATAGTGGCATAGTAGATAAAGCGTTGCACAGCTCCTTGAGGCACTTCACCACTGTTGCCTCAGGAGTGGAATATTCGGTGGTGTATAGCTGCTGCTGACATACTGGCAGACCACAAATTCTTCAAAGAGGTCTGATCTTCCTATAGCATTCAAGATCTGTGAAGATACAAACAATGCTAAATTAGGTAAGCTCATCTGCAATTTCAAGTGAGCCTACCTATAGCCCTTTCACATGCATTAGTGCATGGGCAAGGCACCTTACTGCAGAACAAATTCTGTAGCACGCGCTAACGTTTCTGTAAATGATCCCACAACCCACACACAACTTACTACATATATACGTTTCTTACTACATATGCGTGCTTGCACTCCCCTCTCGCAAACGTTGGCAGGGCTGTGATCCGGAGACATAATTGATTGTGGAGTCAAAGACAACTGGGACACCCGGGGGGAGGGGGGAGATATCGTACTGCATCTCCTCCATACTTGCTCCACCAACAATGTGTTAACAAGCGGTCTTGTAGTCTCCACGTAGTCCGCACATGCGCGAAAGAAACCACTGGATGAACACTGCAGACACTGCAGTGGTGGATCCAGAGGGTTCCTTGGGTTCCACGGAACCCCTTTTTTGTCGTTTTGCGTGCATGCGTTGCCGGCCTCTTGTGCGCACACAAGTGCAGTCGAAAACGTTCTGGACAGCGGAACCCCCCCTTTCAAAATCCTAGATCCGCCACTGCACTGGGTTCACTGCAGACACTGTGGACAAGACACTGCAGACACTTGGTTCACTGAAAACACTTAGTGATACTGCAGACACATGGTTCACTTTGTAGACACTGAAGATCTTGGGTTCGCTGAAGACACTAGGTTCACCACAGACACTGGGAGTAGTCGCTTACCATGCAAGTTTAGCATGCGAGAACTATTATTAGTGCTAACGTACTGTCTCTAGCCGCTTCTTACGGATCTATACCCTCGGTTCTTATCTGCACCGCCTTCGGGCTTCACCCTTGTGCAGTACTGATAAGCATATTCCCCATATACTTTCCAAACCCATAGATTAACCTATACATAACTATTTAACTGTAACACACTACACAACAAGGCTTCCACAGAAGGAGCTGACACATAGTTGTATACATGGAGTTCCAAGGGATTTTTGTCTATGCAGGTGACAGAGGAATTGGCAGGCTCTAAGTCTGAGTGAGTAAAATGTATATTAATATTATCAGCATAGTAAGTGTAATGAATCAAGGTTAAGTTTAGGTAAGTTGTAGCGGGCCTCACGAATTGTGTATGTTAACACAAGGCAAGTTGCACATCAAGCAATACAACAAAACCCAGGACAACACTTTTCACTAGAAATGCTGCCGTGGGTAAGACTGGAAAAGCATGTGTCAACTACGAGGTAGAAAGCCCCCCCCCCCCCCCCCCCCCCCCAATATCTATGTAGTGTCCTTCATTGCTTTCTGTGTGTTCATTCTTTTTTTGATCGTTCTTTAGAAATGCGGAGCTAAACTCCAGACTACAGGCTCTGCAGGTAGAGGTATCTTCTTTGCAGCAAACCAGAAATGATAATAATCAGGAGATACAGGTGTGTTTTATACTGTTTAGGGGTGGGTTTAAATAATGTAGTGGTGTGTATGTATGTGCGTGGATACCATAGAACCAAACGTGATGATATTATTATACTTAAAAACCAGATAGTACTGTATGGCAATTTTAAAGTAGATAGCTTGTGGGGTTCAGTAACTCGAAGAGGCAAGCCAATACTGCTTTTTGAGAAAATGAGGCTCCTGCCTCTCATTTGTATTTTATGTGCGTGTGTTCTACATAACTTGTCGGCTTGCTATGTGCAGTGCTGAGAATGGTACTTAGACACTTGACACTGCAACAGGACAAGTTGGTGGGAATCAGTCATGTTGTTAGTTTGCCGCAACACGCATTCGTATTCGGCCGGCCTAACTGAACCAATTAAGTACAATACTCCAGGATTTTATGTGTGCAGGATTGTATAATATTCTGATATACCCGAAAAAATTTCCATAGTATATACCTACTTCATACATGTCAGTTGCCTAGGGATATTAATCAACCAAACATCGTTTTCTTGAGACTAGTTGACTTGTTTGACTTTGCTTTGCTTTGATGCGTAATATACGCTTAGTTCAGAGTGTGTGGCGGTCTGCTTTTACATGCTAAGTGAGAGTATTTCTACATGCTAAGTCAGAATACTGTGCAAAGCACAGTGGTTTGTGGTGTGCCTTTGTCTTGTGTTGTAGATTCAAACCTCTACCTGCTGAGTTTCCCTGGTAGTTCAGTTGGTAGAGCGCTCACGTAGACTGCAGAGTGTTGTGTTTTAGAATCACACGCCAGGCAAAAAAGATTTCTGTGTGTAGTTGCCTTGTTTGCCTTCGCTTTGATTTGGCCTTGTTGTTGACATGCATGTGCATGTGTATCTCGTGGGTATTTGTATTCCAAGTACATGTTGCAGTGCCCAGAGAGGACAGCATGATTCTGCATTATTCCCATAATGTCACAACAGAACCCAGAGCATTCCAGCAACTCAGACTCATTTCTTTTTTTCTTCCGGGGCTCTTGCTCTCCTATCCTGTCCAATACACTATACAAATGAAGTATAACAATGTGGAAAGCAACAATATTATTCGTATTTACCTCACACTTTCCTTGTGGTGCAACGAGGGTTTAACTTATACCTCTTTCCATTTATACAGACTCTTAAGGACTGTCTCGATCAGTTGGTAGTGTCTACAGGCAGTCATGAACAACAGGAAATGACTGATGGTCAGACGCAGAATGTGAACTCAACTGGTACACTGCTTAAGATTCAAGCAATGCTAGATACAACAAAGGTAACTAGTAGATCATCTTATTCACAAGTACATGAGGAACACATAATTATTCTGTTGGGTTTGGTTTTTGGGTACAATTCCAAGTACATGTATATACTATAATAGCAGGGGAGTGGAAGAAAATTATAAGTAACTAGACATCAATGACGATCTAGAGAGAAGTGTTAGGTACATCAAAGACTTGCATATCTGAGCCAAACCAATGTTACCCCTTTTCCTTCTTTCTTTATTTTAACCTGTGCATCTCAATCTTTAAATGATTCCCTGTAGGTGCAAGCTGAATTACAAGCAGTAACAGTGGAAAGAGACAATAATATTGCTGCTCTGGAGGAACAAAGTAGACTAGTGAAGAAATTACAAGGTTGAGATAAAGCATACCAGGCTGTTAAATGGTGGTGTGGTTTCTGTATGAGATCTGTAGACGGCAGTGGCTACATAAACTACAGGTTGCTTAGATTTTGGAAGTACGTATGTACATACAGTAGTCGAACAGCGGTAGAAAAGCTTCATCTATTGAGATAAGAGATCACCTCAACAATAACAATTATGGACCAATTCCCGGCCATTGTTTTTATGCTCCTTGGTTTTTGACCTCTTTTGGAAGGCCTAGAAGTATGGTCATGAAACTAACTGTAAACTGGGTACACACGTTCTTCCTGGTCATATATACATATGTCATCTGTGCATACTTACAGGTAGACATGAATTCCATTTGTGTGTGATTTATAGTCATGCTTTGCATATATAATTTTCGCAGAGGAAAACACAAATCTTCTTGAGCATTCTAATGAAATTGAAGCTCAACTCAGTGTATGTACAGCTGACCTTCAAAAGCTTCAGGAGAAGCACAAAACATTGACTGAGTATTTTGAGCAAAAGGAGCACAATCTTCATCGGTTAGTGTGTGTGACTATTAAATAGGTTACAGTGTGTATGTTGTTACAAAGTGAGCAATCTTGATGTCTCAAGATTGGTCAGCTTTCCTTTAGTGTTTTGCTTAGTAACTTTCATCATCAAAAATACATCCAACTAAGGAGTACTGATCTGTTTCCCACACCACCACGGAAACTTCATGGTGACACAATCTTACATAAATCATAACCTCTCTTGTGTGCTTTTGTGTCGGGTAGTGAGATGTAAGAGGGTTACCTGCTTGACCTTTTGAGATTTTTGAAGCTAAGAGGGTTAGGTTATACAGTGATTATAAATATATGTTATGTACTACGTGTGAGGGACATACCGGATTTCAATGAACCCGAGGGCCTTTGCATTTGTAGTGTCCCGAGCGCAGCGAGGGCACTACGCAGAGGGCCTGAGGGTTCATTGTATGTCCTGAGTATACGGAGTACATAACATGTTTAGTGCAGAGCAAATCAGCTCCGTATACACGCACAGCCACGTTTCCAAGCAAAGGGAATTTGAAAGATGTGAGAAAGAGACGAGAGCGCAAGACCGTCATCCCGTGCGGGACTATTGAACGCCGAACGCTAGGATACGCTGCTCCGCCGCTCTAGCTACTCCCGCTGCGGGACTGTCCTCCGCCACAACGCGACAGGAGACCTGCGCAAACCATCACAATCAGAGAGAGGCGAGAGTGGAGAATTCAGGCGCTGTGCTGGCTGCTATACCGAAGGCGTTCGCCGTAGACTTAGTAGCTTTGTCGCGCGCACTCACTCGCGGAGCCCCACCCCCTTATTTGGGAGTGCGGTGGTTTGTGGGCGGGCGTGAGCTGCCTGGCTATCTACTATATATGTACATGGCAAGGAGGGAGATGGGCTCAAAGCAGACACAGAGAACTTAAGAAAATCAAGATATCAGTTATTTTGATCAACATTTTGTACAGATCATGTTTTGCGGGATACATTTCCTACATGAAATGCTGTTGAACTTGTTGAAAAAACAAGGTTTCATATCATGTTTTCATGTTACTTTTGTTAGCTCACGAGGTTCATATGAGAAATCAGGAACCTCGTACTAACAAATCTGATTGGTCGATTCGAATCAGCTATGCACTAAACAGTCCCATGTCTCAGATGTCGTCTGGGGAAAACCCGAGGAAGAGGTGAATTAGGGTGTGTGGGAGGTTGGTACAGATCTGCATCATTACCCATACTATAAAAGTCCCACCCAATGCTCTGGATGCATGGTCGATGGTCATAGTGTGATGGATGGCACCTGAGTATTACTAGAGAAGGCCTCAAGTAAAGAATTGCATGTGTAACGCACATGCGCAAATGGTGCGGTAGAACAGTAGGCGTGTTCTCTCGGGGGATTACTGGACATAGTCTGTGCATACATGGAAGATGCTGTGCATATTGAGTGAATATTTCCTAATTCAACTCGCTGTCGTCCATACGCAGTATTGTTGTCTCCTAACGTTCCATAGTGTTATACCTACACACATGATGCACATGTTTGCACATAGTGCGTACTCTATGTTAGTTGATGGTTCCCCTTTATGTTTCCTACTCTTGCTGCTGCTGCAGGATGTTAGGTGCAGAGGAGGCCGTGAGACAAGCAGTAGAGTCAAGGGAAGCCCAGGTGAAGGAGAAGGCACAAAGCCTTGAACAAGCAGAGACTAGGCACAGGTGAACTGCAGCTTCACATAAATTTCTGTGAAACCTTAGTACCATTTCACTTGGATTTCTTGTCATTTGCTGATGTGAAAGGTTTATATATGATGATTTTAAGCTGTTAGTAGGGGCTGTAAGCAGTGTGGGCAGATCTCCACCCAATAGCAACAGCTACGTACGTTTGTCTGGAAAACAAAATGATGCTACACCTCCTTCCTCTATACCAATTCTTAGGTGCCATGTGTAACTGTTTGCAGTACTACACTAGCCTCGGAACCTAGACCTTCCCCGTTGTGCAGCATAATACGCATGCAATATTGTTTGGAATACTTGTGCATGGGCGATCTTGGCCAAAAAAACACGCCTGGGCTTGAGCATCATGTGAGGGTAGGTTCTTGGCTCTGGCCCAACTCATTTGTGAAAAACCCTCTGCGTATACTCAATGTGTCGCTGACATTTTTACCTGTAGAAATACCCTTTCACTCTTTTTTACACAGGGAAGAACTGAAACAGTTACGCAGTGAAATGTTTGAGATAGAAAAAAGTCTAATGTCTCAGGTAATGTATGAATATATAAGGTATGAAGCAAAAGGGACCAAGGACACCCAGGATACTTTTAAAAGACATGCACCAACACTTACTCTAGGAATATCCTGCAGGAATTCATTTGATGTGTTTAGTAGTACATGATGTCAGTGCTTTTGGGAAAGTGGAAGCGAGCTAACAAACGCATAAGATACTAGAAGTCTTTTACCATAACATGGGGAAACTCTATGAAAGTGGCATGCTTGAATGGTGTCTCTGCAACTGTGGTCTTCGCAAGTAAGTTGCTTGTTAAAACTAAGGAGATTATATTGCAACTATGACCAAGTTGTATTACTGCTACGCTTAATTTAAGCAGCGGTGTCTCCATCCACCTGTAACTGAGAGCCTTAGCTGACTATCGCAACTGAGCAAGATTGATGGAGAATAAACGCACATTATATAAACAAAAATTTGTGTTGTTCAGAGCAAGGTTAGCTCGCTCCTGCTAGCCAATTATTAACCATCATGTGCGTGTGCATAAAGGTTGCAGTACTTGGTGTGTCCAAGTGATTGTCTGTCTGTCTGTTTGTTGCCGCTATTCAAGTACTGCAGGCTGTGGGGTGGCCAATGAGCACTCCCACCAGTTCAAAGATACGAGAGCAAGAGTTTGAGATGGGCAATTTTCGTGAAACCAAGTAGAATGGCATGCATGAAGCACAAGTGAAAGAGCCAACAAATACGTAGCCTCTTTAGCTTTTTGCCCATTCTTTCTCAGTGGAGGCATGAAGTCTGGCATTGGTCTACATGCTACTGCTGACATGTTAGAGCAAGAATCCGATATTGCAAGCAAACGCATGATGTGATCTAGCCCATCTGATAGCAGTGTTTTTGCGCATTCTTAGTCACATTTTGTGCATGCTTTAGCTATAACGCGAATGTGCCGAGGATTTACACTTAATGATTTTTATTGCTTGTTTTTAACAGGTCCACACTTGTCAAAAAAGAGCCGAGGATGCAATTGTAAGTATTTTTAACCCTCCGCGTGCATGCGCAGTGAGGGTTACAGTAGTTGGTTTGTCTGCCTGTCTGTGTGTCTGTGTGTCTGTGTGTCGACGCTTATTCTGGCACTACAGGCTACGAGGCGGGCCCATTAGCGATACCAGTGGCTGCAGAACTACGCAAGCCTGAAAAATAATAGGGCGATTTTCCTGAAACAACTGCGTTCGAGAGCGAGAAACTGGACGGTCGCGGACCGAGTTGCGTGGCCCATTAGCTGTGCGCATGCGTATATTATACGCGTTCGAAAAGGCGCGGTGCGGCTGACCTCGACCAGGTCCGCTCGCTCTGTGTATCTTGAAGGCACAAGAAGTCACAACGAAGGGCATGTATCGATCCGCATGCTATCTACTACTGTAGCTAGCCCATGGCAGACTCTTCGCGAGCTACTAGCGAGAGAAACGCATACTGATAGCCCAGCCCATCAATTAGCGGTATGGCGCATGCGGAGTTCGCCGAGGGTTTGCACTTTAGTGCTATTCATTGTAAATTAATACAGTTGAGGTTACTAAGTAGTAGTGAGACTCTTGACTCTTGGGCGATTTTTGGTTGCAGATGACTCCTGTCGGTGTTATTGAGTCCCAATAGCACTTAGGAAGCTTGTAGATGTTGTGCATGCTTGCTGCCTGAAATGGGTGTGAGTTAGGATGTCTATGCATATTTGGCACACATGTTGACTATGAGTGCACTGAACCTAGCGTAAATTCCGTTTCTCTCGGTTGTTAACCATGACTATAATAACAAGTAAATAAAAAAATTCAAAAGTGTGGAATATAGGGATGCCATAAAAAGCAAGGAGACAAGACAGGGACGACCTAGTGAACGTGATGCAATAGTACAATGGATGATGGCTACATACTTTGAACTGACATAGCTTGCTCGTGTAAAATTTCCTCGCACTTCACTAAACAAACAGTAAAGGTGGCGACAATATAGGGCTTGTGTGGAGGAATACGAACAAGCCATGTCAGTTCAAAGTATGTAGCCGTCATCCATTGTATATACTATTGCATCATGTTCACTAGGTCATCCCTGTCTTGTCTCCTTGCTTTTTACGGCATCCACACTTTTTAATTCGAAGAATGTTTTATTTACTTGTCTCCTTTCCTTTTTTACTGCATTCACATGCATGGTGTGCAATAAAAAGTTGGGCATAAGCCCATAAAACATTAGTGGCCTTAAGCTATCTCCTCAGACGTTTTGTCGTCATTCACATAACATCAGTGCACCAAGTTTCATTGTGAGAGGACCCATCATAAGCAAATTATAGGCACTGACACCGTTTAAAATTCTTTTTTTGCCTGTGGTTGTTTTTTTTTTTTTTTTTCAAACTTGTAATTTCAGTTTCGATGAGTTTCATTGTTAGAGGACCAACCATAAGCAAGTTAGAGGCACAAACATCATTTGCAAGTTTTTATTCCCTGAGGCTGTTTGTTGTTGTTTACAAACTAGTCATTTTTTTGATGAACTCTTGTCATGGTAAATCAGTGTACCAAGTTTCATTGTTAGAGGACCCACAATAAGCAAGTTATAGGCACAAACGTCATTTACAAGTATTTATTGCCTGAGGCTCTTTGTTTTTGTTTACAAACTTGTAATCTCTGTTTTGATGAACTCTCATCATGGTAGCTACATCAGAGTACCAAGTTTCATTGTTAGAGGACCCACCATAAGCTAGTTAAATTTTTTATTGCCTGAGGTTGTTTGTTGTTGTTTACAAACTTGTAATGTTTACATTTTTATACTAATGATGGGTTGCATGTGTGTACAAAGTTTTATCATTCTGGGTACTTGCTCTACCTAGTTATCGTAATATATGGCCTGGGGGTATTTTTTGTCAAATTAAAACGCGCTTGCACACGGATTCCAATCTTTGTGCAAAGTTTCATCTCCATATCTTAAGTGGTTTTTAGATACGCTTGTTTAAACTGAACAACAACAACAATAAGAACAACGAGAAGAAGAAAATTGAAAACTGACTTTTTAAAATAAATCAAGTACCGATTATGCGATTTAAGCCATTTCTTGGATACATGCTCTTTGTGACGATAAGGATCAGCCTGATGTGTCAAATGATTGAAACTGAAAGTGAAACATGAAAATCTCAAATGTATGGGCATAATGCAGGACAACCTGTGTCATCCCTATATACTAAGTACTACGGTATATGTGATGACAGTTACTATGTTCCCAGTGTAGGTTTACCTATGGGTGATATGTTCTACGAGCGCATAGTGTGAGTAGAACATGCCATCCATGGTATATGTTACCCTAGCAACCCCAAACAATGCACAGGAAAAGGAAATGGCAACACAAGAAAATACATACCAACTAACAGCAATAGCAAAGATATTCAAGAATCACGATTGGCATATTGATTAATGATGAGAATGTCAGAATAGTAATGATGAATATGAAGGTACTCTTTCTGATGTCGTCTAAATGACAATAGACTCGAGGATGCTTATAGTAAGCACTATGCAGATCAATCCCAGCATCAACCATTGGGCTTATTATGTTGCTCACTGTCTTTCTCTGGCTTTCTGTAACCTGCTGATATACACGAAGCGATTCAACAGATTTGTGCCCGGTTTGCTTCTGAACTAACCCCCATCCTGCACTCTGGCACTAAAACTTGTATGGCACATGTTGCTCTCCGGCTGTGATTAACCCTCGGCGCGCATGCGCAGCGAGGGTTACGGTAGTCGTTCTGTGTGTCTGTCTGTCTACGACTATTCTCGCACTACAGGCTACGAGGCGGCTTATGAACAGCTTCAGCGGTACATAGGCTAGAAAAATAAAATGACGATTTTGCTGAAATGACTGCGTTCGAGAGCGACAAACCGACACAGTCGCGGACAACGTTGCGTGGCCCAACCCATCAATAAGCGGTGAGCATGCGTGTATTAGACGCGATCAATGCAGTATGCTGGCTCACCTCGACCAGATCCGCTTGCTCTGTGTACCTTGGAGGCACAAGAAACCACAGCGAAGGGTGTGTATCACACCGCATACCGCATGCTATCTACAACTGTAGCTAGCCAGTGTCAGACTATCCGCAAACTACTAGCGGGAGACCGCGAGTAAACGCCAATAGCCCAGCCCATCTATTAGCGGTACCATGCATGCGCGGTTCGCCGATGGTTTGCACTTTAGTGCTTTTCATTGGTGAAAGCGCTTGGGAATGTACGGTTGAATCTGTTCGCAGGAAAGCGGCTTCACAAACCATCAGGAAGGGGACGGATCTTGCAGCTGTCGCGGCCGAAGCAGCTGAATGGAGGCGTCGGAGGTGTTGGTGGCGGAGTGAGAATCGCCGTTTGACTGCTCAGTGGAATGTGCTTAACAGTATATACCTAACGTCTCCCACAGCCGCCAGGTTTGCGTTCTTCTTGTCACCCATAGCTTGCTGCCAGTGGCAGTAGTCGTCCATGCACAACTCGACGTCCTTTCCTCCTTTTCGGCCCGCCAGCTAGCTGCATGCAGGTAGGTGTGTGGCGCGTGCGGTACATAGTGACGTTCCAATTCCATTAGTCCTTGTTGGAGCGTAAATGCTGGTTTGGTGCAATTTGTGGTTTGGTGGTGGGACGTCATTGATACCTTATATGGGAAAGCTGCGGTACTTACCACTAGTGAATGTATACCATACCAAAACGCTTAGTTGCTAGGGTAACATACACCAAGTATCCATAAACTTTTGAATTAGAGGTGCACAAACAATAGCCAACAACTAAAGTGTCTTGTATGTACTATAATAATTTGTTAACTAGCAGCATGTGTTGATGGACAAACTAGCACATAAGCATGTGTGGATGGATAACATACATCCACCCAGTAAGGTTTTTTGCATGAAGTATACTCTATTCACACATGAAAAATATGTTGACTATATAATTATCTGAAGTACCCTATACCCTAATTAACATCCATTTCTCCAAGTGGTTCCAAAGGTTAAGATTGTAGTAACAATTTACTGATTGTCCATGACTGGATAGCAGCAGACTCTACACATTTCTATTCATAAACAAATGAAAAGCACTGAAGTGCAAACCCTCGGCGTTCTGTGACGCGCACGCGTAAGTAAACGCATGCGCCGTACTACTAATTGCTGGGCTGGGTTTAGTTTTAGCTGTTACCCGTGGTCTCTTGCCAGCTCGCGCAGAGTCTGACGCGGGCTAACTACACTACTAGATAGCATGCGAGAGGCGATACACGCCATGCGTTGCATCTTCTGGTGCCTCCGAGGTACGCAGAGCACGCGGATCGATCATGCCGTAGTAAGCCGTTGTGTATTTGCATATTGGCTTTTTCGCGCTCTAGCTCTGCAACGGAGCGTTTTCAGCGAAAACCCCACATATTTTCTGACCTTCATTGCCCGTTCAGTAGGTGGTATCCTTTGCGAGACGAACGAACACTCGAGAAGTGAGATGACGAGTAACAGACACACAGACAGACAGACAGACAGACAAACCCAACTACCGTAACCCTCGCTGCGCATGCGCGCCGAGGGTTAATGACTTACAAACTACGTATCTAGTATCTAGTAATTATTTCTCTCAATGCACATTAGAACATGGGTGTGAGAATTTTTTGGTGTCAATATGCATTAAATTTTTCACTCCCAATGTACACGTGTAAATGTGCTACCTTGGTAGTTTCAACATCCTCACCTGTTTTCAATGTTAACTGGAAATACTTGCGTTTGAGAAAGTGCAAATGCAAGTGCACACAAACCTTTAAGTGCTAACAAAATTGAACCCCCATTACGTTGCACTGTGGTGAATGTCATTGTACTCACAATTATCACTCTTTCAGGCTGAGCAGAGGAGATTAGAACAGGAATGCAAGGCATTGAAGATGGAGAGAGATGACCTACGTAAACGGTATAGCCTGCAAACACACATTTGAGTATCATTGACGAGTGAAGTGAGCCTCCCTAAATCATCTGAATTTTGCAGTTTTCAATGTGTGTCCAATGATAAGGAGGAGGGCACTGTTGCAAATAGACACAATGCAAACATGCCACTGCATTGCCTCAACTCTCAAATGAGTGTTGCCACCGTGCGTATGATTCTCGTGGTTACTTGCCAATTAACAATGCATGCCATTCGTTCTAGTAATAAGTATTTTGATAACAGTATTTTGATAATCAGTAATGTTATCGGTTCAAGGCCTAACCCAATCACGAGGAATTTTTTACTGTCTGACATGCCAAAAGGGCTTCTGTAACATTGTAGAAACTAGTGAGGAAGTCCAGTTGTGAAGAAATGCTATCTCTTTTATTCAGCATGACTGTGAAATCCGTATCTCCTGTAGGTGGAGCATCAGACCGTGAGTATTTTACCGTAAACCATGACAATTGTATTTAGTGTGACAGAAACATTAGTGTCGAGGTTGGCTAATAGGAAACTCTCTTTCCGTATCAGGGCAACACTCTCTCATTGCACGGCCGCCTTCTGCACCATACCTCCCCCGTACCTCTTCTCCTGGTGTGGGTGATACAGGAAATTATATGACCTCACTGTTGAACCAAACTGACCCAGGCCCACTGCCCAGCACCCGGCCTCAGCCTATCTTCCCAATCACTGGACGCCCGGAACCTTCTCCATTTTTTCCTCCTCCTGATCAAAGAGGACATTTTCCCCCCTCACAGCCTCCATTGCAGTAAGAAAATTGTTTTTAGTGTCCCAGTATGTATTTTTCTGGCTTATGCAGGCACCCTATTCCAGAACGTGAGAGACCACGTTATCCCCTCCCTCCTCCTCCCGGCCGCAGATTGATAAGAGGCTATCCACCACCATTTGAACGTCGTCCTCCTAGACCTGGAGTATATGGACCTGGTCCTCGGTTTTATCACGATGCTAGAGATAGAGTTCCAGGTATACCACCTTTTAAAACAAGTATGGACTAAGTTGACAGTTCAAGATTGGGATGACCTGCTGTAAATACCATACATAGTGACATATGTGAGGCACTACAATCTTGTGCATGACTACGATGCTCGTAGACTCATCTTTCTCGATTCTGACTATCTGATTTATTCTCTTACGTATGTGCATACACGAGTGACAATTGTAGTAAGCAATCAATGGGTGCAACATGAGTAACCTGTGGAGTTGATACTGTGCAATCAAGAACACCAAGGCAATTATGTTGTAACTTCAAATTCTGGATGCCATAAAGTTTTCAGGCACTTCTCTGTTCCTGTTAGATGTGTTTAGTACTGGATTCGCTTTATCTGTGCATGGATGTCAGGGGTCTTGTGAATATATGCTTAAGAGAGGGGAGATTCGGAGACTAGACATTCTACATAGTAATTGTATTAGAATTACTGTATGTGTGTAATGACATTGCATTTCATTGTTTTTGTCAGAGAGAAGGCGGCCTGTGTCCAACCCACCTCCAGGTGCTACACCAACTCCACCTGTAGGAGTGTATGATCCTCATACTTCACGCAATATGGTATATACGTAATGTTTTGATGTTGTGATATTTATGATTTATAATGTGTATTTCATAGCATGATAGCTCCACCGGATTTGTTCCTGTTGCTCCAGCTGTCCCTGAGACGACATTTCAGACTGATAATGTGCTTAACCCTGTAGGAGAACAAGTTAGTTCTTGTATGTGTATCTATCTGATCACTTAGCATAATAATATTGAAAGTCGTCACATACCTACTGCTGCTCTTATTGTTTTGTGTGCGGCACTGTTACCTGGACTAGGTCTTGCACACCCTTAAACTGGTTGCCTAAAATATTGTCTGCATCTTCATCAGCGATTTACAGTTAGTAGTTTCCATGTTCATGTTGTGATACGATATAAAGTCCTAGCTTGCTGATCTTCTTACACACAAAGCTAGCAAAATCAACAGGAGGGGTGAGGGAGGTATAGCAGATCACCAGTGCTTTTATGCTCACCGTTGCTCACAATTTTGGTCTGTGTCATTAGTTATGTATTTAATGGGGTTTTGAGTCAATAAGTGTGACTTACAGTAGATGATTCAGCTGTGTTTGCAGCGAGTTGATACACAATAGTTATGTTTTGTATACAACCTACATATATGTAGCTATGTGTACTTGCAGTCAGTGATATTTCCTGCCCTTTTTCATAGGTGCCTCTCCAAAGACCAGAAAGCAGGAAGTTCTGATCATGGAAACTATTTATACGAAAGTAGATGAGTAATAGTTGCTAGACTGTACAAGACACACCTTAATTCATGGTGTACATATTTCATTTTTGCTTTGATTAGGTGTCAATGTGTTTACAATTACATTTTGGCTCGTAAATGCTAGTTGATGAGCGAAGCGAACCCACCTATAGTGTGAATGCGGGATTTTTTTATACGAGCATAGCAGGACCACTTAGTCATCTGAATGTGGGAATTTTTCTCTTTATATTTATGTTGTGACCCGCACTACCGTACTGTTATATGTGATTCTAAACACGTGTGAACTGCTAACTTCGCTCACTAAAAATCTGTTGCATTCCTCTAATATTATATTATAATATTCATATATATTGTGACCCACACTGCCACTTGCCCATACCGTAATTTTCCATGTGATTCTACGCACGAACTGGTTGCCTTCGCTCGCCAAAGAGTACTAACTCTGCGCATTAAAACTTTTTTTGTCCTGCCCATGAAGTGGAAGATGTTCTTAATTATGTAGAATGTATCTGGGACCGAGTTAGATGACCTGGATGGACTCCTGATGGTCAAAATTTCTGTATGTATATTTTGATTTCCATTGAGTGTATTCGAATGATTGAGTGGTATAAGTTGAGTGACACCCTTCAAGTTACCTTAGATATATTTGATAATTATAAGGTGTGGTTGAACAGACTCTTTTAGATAGGTCCCGATCGAAGTGTATTGATTCGTCTACATAGCTCCACCACGAAACTAGTCCCCAATTATCTGTATTTGCACTTGTGATTTAAAATGTTGTACAAGTAAATTTAAAACCCAGCGATTTTAAAAAAGAGGCATGTAGGGATGGAAAAGGAGAAAAGATAGGAATGGGATACATGAAGCATGGTTAATGAACAGATTTGAGTACGCTGACACCCCAGACACCATCAGACAATCCATATATTGTTGCCTGGTGTGCCACTCGTAAACTCCATTTCGATCCTTGGTTACTCAGTAGCATGACTTCACATTGTTACGGTAACGGTGTTGGTTACTCAGTAGCATGACTTTGTATTTTCAAGCTGTAAGTCCTGACTACAATATATGGATTGTGTTACGGGATCGGGGGTTTCAGCGTGTTCATTAACAATGTCATACACATGCGTACCAAGTTTCATCTCCATGAGTGCTACCGTTTAGCAAGTTTGAGGAGTGAAGAAGTAAATGACTGAAGCTATTTGTTGTTCAAACAATATGCGGTCATCATGGAAACAATGTACGTTTCATCTCGCTCGCGGGTTGTCATAGAAACATGTAGTTGTAGAAAAATCATTTCTTCAAAATGAAGGGGGATATAGGGATGGCTTGAAGCACCAAAAAGGAAGAAAAAGGGGTCATTACACAGCAAAGTTGCAAAAAGCTACATGACACCATCCCTATTATCTTTATTCGATACTAAACTTTTGCTTATAAACAATAACAAAGATATAGGGATGGTGTCATGTAGCTTTTTGCAACTTTGCTGTGTAATGACCCCTTGTTTCTTCCTTTTTGGTGCTTCGAGCCATCCCTATATCCCCCTTCATTTTGAAGAAATGATTTTCCCACTTGTATCATTTCCATTACAACTACATGTTTCCATGACAATTTTGGTCTGTGTGTATCACTAAGTACGGTAGTACTTAGTATATAGGGATTGACATGGTACCTAGCATCAGTATGGGGCTATGATAGGGAGTTTTGTTCATCTTCTTCTTCGACCAGTGTAACTCAAAAACCGAAAGAGATAAAGCCATGAAATTTTGTAGGAATGTGCGTATCGATAACCACATGTGCAACATCATACGTTTTGTTTGTAAACAACAACAAAATTGCCCCAGGCAATACATTATAATGGACATACATGTGTTAGTGTAATTCACATGAGTTATGTGAATGAAACTTTGTATACATAATGTATTCAATACCCAACATCAAAAACACAACAATACATATTTATAAACAGCAACAAATAGCCTCAGGCACTTTTCTTTAAATTTACTTCTTCACGTCTCAAACTCCTTAATGGTAGGACGCATAGAGATGAAACTTGGTACGTATGCCTATTATATCATTTCCATGACAACTACATGTTTCCATGACGACTGCATACTGTTTGAAGAAACCTCAGACGATTATGTTTATAATTACTTCTTCACTCCTCAAACTTGCTAACTGTAGCATGTATGGAGGTGAAACTTGATACACATACGTATTAAACTGTTTCCATGACAACCACAACACAAAGTAGCCTCAGGCACTTTTCTTTAAAATTACTTCCTCAGTCCTCAAACTCGCACACATGGAGGTGAAACTTGGTGCGCATGTGAATTACATCGTTTCCATGACAACTACAATAACAAAAAGCCTCAGGCACTTTTTAAAATTACTTCTTCACTCCTAAAACTCGCTAACTATAGCACACATGGAGGTGAAACTTGGTGCGCATGTCATGTGTATTACATCGTTTCCATGACAATAAATAGCCTCAGGCACCTTTCTTTAACATTACTTCTTCATTCCTCAAACTTGCTAACTGTAGCACATGCATGGAGGTGAAACTTGGTGCGCATGTGAATTACATCGTTTCCATGACGACCACAACAACAAATAGCCTCAGGCACTTTTCTTTAAAATTACTTCCTCAGTCCTCAAACTCGCACACATGGAGGTGAAACTTGGTGCGCATGTGAATTACATCGTTTCCATGATGGCCACAACAACAAATAGCCCCAGGCACTTTTCTTTAAAATTACTTCTTCACTCCTCAAAATTGGCTAACTGTAGCATGCATGGTGGTGAAACTTTGTACGCATGTGTATTACATTGTTTCCATGACGACCACAACAACAAATAGCCAGAGGCACTTTTCTTTAAAATTAATTCTTCACTCCTAAAACTTGCTAACTGTAGCACGCATGGAGATGGAACTTGGTACGCATGTGCGTAACATCGTTTCCATGACGACCACAACAACAAATAGCCTCAGGCACTTTTCTTAAATTACTTCTTCACTCCTAAAACTTGCTAACTATAGCACGCATGGAGGTGAAACTTGGTACGCATGTGTGTAACATCGTTTCCATGACGACCACAACAACAAATATATAGCCTCGGGCACTTTTCTTTAAAATTACTTCTTCACTCCTCCAACTTGCTAACGGCAGCACACATGGAGATGAAGCATTATCATTTCCATCACGACAACAGGCATTTTTTCTCTATTATTAATTTTTTATAGGGGCTTGCCCCCTTCCACAGAGATAATACGTAGTAGTATATAAAAATGAGTGGAGACAAGTAAATTAAAAATCCTGCGCATATAGGGGATGGTATAAAAAGAAAGGGAGACACGATAGGGATTGGATACATGAAGCATGGTTAATGAACAGATTTGAGTACGCTGACACCCCAACCCCATCACACCATCCCTATATTGTTGCCTAGGTGAAGTATTAAACATTCACCATTACAATACTCAGAACTTACAATGCACTACTGAGTAACCAACACCCTTATAGAGTCCAAGTTGAGTTTTTATAAAGGGACTGTGGCGGTATAAATGTTACTTAAAACAACAGGGACACGGTGAAAGAATGCTTGCTTTAGTAACCTTTAGCCCCTATAAGAGTAGCACACCAGGCAACAATAATAGGGATGGTGTGATGGGGTTTGGGGTGTCAGCGTACTCAAATCTGTTCATTAACCATGCTTCATGTATCCAATCCCTATCTTGTCTCCCTTTCTTTTTATACCATCCCTATATGCCTCTTTTTTTTTTATTCGCAGGATTTTTAATTTAATGGGGTTTTGAGTGAGGTGCTGTCAGTAAGTGTGACTTACAGTAGATGATTCAGCTGTGTTTGCAGCGAGTTGATACACAATAGGCTGTACCTCCTCCCTGATCTCTCTGGTTCTCCAGTTCTCTTGTTCTCTCTCCTCTTTTCCATATTCTCTGGTTCTCTGGTTCTCTGGTTCTCCAGTTCTCTTGTTCTCTCTCCGCCTCTCGGATCTCTGGTTCTCCAGTTCTCTTTTCCTCTCTGATCTCTTGGCTCTCTGGTTCTCCAGTTCTTTTGTTCTCTTGCTCTCTTGTTCTCTCTACTCCTTTGATCCCTCGGATCTCTGGTTCTCCAGTTCTCTTGATCTCTCTCCTCCTCCCTGATCCCTCGGATCTCTGGTTCTCCAGTTCTCTTGTTCTCTCTTCTCCGCCCTGATTTCTCGGCTCTCTGGTTCTTTTTCTCTCCTCTTTTCCACATTCTATGGTCCTCTGGTTCTCCAGTTCTCTTGTTCTCTTGTTCTCTCTACTCCTCTCTGATCTCTCGGCTCTCTGGTTCTCCAGTTCTCTTGTTCTCTTGTTCTCTCTCCTCCTCTCCGATCTCTCGGGTCTCTGGTTCTCCAGTTATCTTGTTCTCTCTACTCCTCTCTGATCTATTGGCTCTCTGATTCTCCAGTTCTCTTGTTCTCTCTGCTCCTCTCTGATCTCTCGGCTCTCTGATTCTCCAGTTATCTTGTTCTCTCTGATCTCTCGGGTCTCTGATTCTCCAGTTCTCTTGTTCTCTCTGATCTCTCGGCTCTCTGATTCTCCAGTTCTCTTGTTCTCTCTGCTCCTCTCTGATATCTTGGATCAGGTCGCGGTAAGCCCAGTGCGATTGTGCGATTATGCATATTGGCTTTTTCGCTTGTTTTCACGGCCACATCTCTCGAACGCAGTCCTTTCAGGATAATCGCCCTTATATTTTTCAGGCTCGCGTAGTTCTGAAGCCGCTGGTATCACTTATAGGCTGCCTTGTAGCCTGTAGTGCCAGAATAAGCGTTGACTCACAGACAGACAAACCAACTACTGTAACCCTCGCTGCGCATGCGCGCCGAGGGTTAAAAGCAAGATGTGAAGGAGGTATATCACTAAGTACGGTAGTACTTAGTATATAGGGATGGGCCTGGAGCATGATAAGGAATTTTGTTCATCTTCTACTCCTTCAGATTCAACACCCATAACTCAAAAACGAAATAACATTAATGATGAAATTTTGTAGATATCCGTCACCCGAAGAGACTAATCATACTTACTTGTTTGTAAACAACTGTAAGCAACAACAAATAGCCCC